GAATAGAATAGAATAGAATAGAATAGAATAGAATAGAATAGAATAGAATAGAATAGAATAGTCTATATTGTCACAAGTACAACAAAATTAGGTTTTCCCTTCTGGTGTTTGAGTAAAAAGTAGAAGAGTAAAAAAAAACAGTATTTACAGTATCAAGATTAATAAAAAATTAACATAAATGTACTTATCTTATCAACTCTACACTTGGCTTGTACTAAAAATTTATTAAGTTGAAGTGTATTTAGTCAATCCTAATGTTTAAACTTTTGGCCAAGATAAAWTTTAGTAGTACACTGAAACTACATTTTCACACACATACTTTCGTAAACTGATTGTGGGCCAGTTTAGCCCCTTATATCTGTGTACACGGCAAATAAAAGTACACTTAGGGAAATACACTTTTATATACTTTAGTATACTTAATGACATGTACCTAAAGTATACTTMTTTTTGGTAAGTTTATAAACTTAAAAACACACAACAGTATAGTATATGTATACGTTTTATAAACAACAAAAAGTCCCACTATAGTACGAACAAGTATTAAGTCAGTATACATTCTAGTACACTATAAGTACATGCTACCTAGTATAATTGATATACTTAAACTCAAGTATCCTTGTTTAGATGAACTTCACGTATACTACTTTTTGCTGAGGGTAAGAAGCTTCTTTAAAATTAAAGATAAATTCCAGGTGTGTTGCAGCAGGGAAACAAGTAAACCATGCAGGATAGTGACCCTCCAGGACCAGGACTGGACACCCCTGGGTCACAGAAAATCCAAAATAAACTAATTTATAAATGTGTTTGTATGAGTAGTTATGAGGGTGTTGTGCCTGATTTTAAGCATACACATTAGTAACTGTAAAAAGGTACATTTTAAAGAAAATACAAGTACAACGCTGATTCATCCCTTTAGTTCAGGAGTCTTTTATAGGATTCAGGTCAGAAACAAGGATTTAAAAACAACAAAAACACGTCCAAAACAGTCATATTTTGGGTATYGGATAGGAAATAAATTTAAAAAATCAGCCTACGTTAAGAGAAAAAGCTTTAAAACACCACGACAAAGACCATTTTGAAAGACTGCAAGAAAGTTTGGATCCTTGGAAGCAAAATTTTAAAACCAAAGGGTGGTTCTAAGCAAGCATAAAAAATGAATATAAAATATTCTGCAGCCATCTTTTAACTCTCCGTGTTCCCTGAGTCATTTTTGGGTGGGTAACGTACACCAGGGAGGCATGCAGCCATGGCTTTCTGCAGCCTGATGACAGACACTGAGATCATGGCGCTGCTTTAAAAATAAACCCACAGGTCAGCAGACCCATGAGTCCCCATACGTGGACAGGTTGCCTGCAGACTTCCAGCTCTGTTTGAGCAAAAGAAATGCTGAGCTGAAGGATTCCAGTTCCAATAAAACGCAGATTTAGACTGTTTAGTTTTGACTCACTGGAAGTCCGACTCACTCGCTGCTTTGGGCCTGGAAATCCGAAGCACAGATTAGTCTACCTGGTTCAGTCCACGAGGAGATCTGAATCTGATTTAAACACATTATTAAAGGTTTTTGCATGCAAGCTGGATGTTTACAAAGCCCCCAAATTAAATCATCTCCTCCAGTGTAGCAAAACGTCAAAAAGACTTTACAGAAAACCTTCAAAATTACAAAGCAGTCAAGTCATTGTTTCACTTAAGCTCTCTCATTAAGCAACAAACCACCAATTTACACTGTCACAAATAATAAACAAGAGACAAACATTTACTGCAGTGTACTGTATTCATTTATTTCACTCCACTACAAAATTATAGATTCATTTCAACTATGATACAGGCTCCACATATACAGAATGTACAGCTTAAAGAGAAACTGAGGACAGTGAGCAGCGTTTACAGTCATTTCATGTAACATCAGAGCAATAAAGAGGTTTCTTTAGCAGGAGTTTCCCTTTCAGACATTAGTAGGTTTCAGGAAGAGGTCCCACTTCTGTTAGATGAGTTTCATAAAATACTGATGAGAAAAAGTTAAAAAGTCACTTATATTAGTGCAGTTTGACTGTTGAACCTTCAACAAATGGCTGCTCTTTAAAAAAATGTAAATGCTTTAAATACAGCTGGAAACCAGATTTCTCCCTTTTTTTTGTTAGTCAGAGCCTGATWACATTAGCACTATCTAATATGTATTAAAAATAGTCTAGGCCGTGGCTTCATAAATGTTTAATATTGATAAACGATGTTCTCAGCACAAATGTTTTTGCTGATTTATTTAATTGAATTTGAGCTTTGGAACTCTGTTCATGTTTGTTAAACTAATCAGACAAGGCAGCTGGATTACAAAACCTGAGAGTAGAAAGAGTTGAGATTTGTTGGAAAAAAAATCTTTGCAAAAAGGAAAGTCCTCTGAAAATATTAATTTAATTTTCTTTCAGTGGGAATCACTAGTTATTATAAAAAATAGATCACATTCAGGAGTCTAATTTGTGTTTTTGAAGCAAAAAAAACTACATTTCTCAGTCAGTATTGCTTCTTCATGTTGGCTCCATGTACAAAAGCACATTCATTTAGCTGCAAAAGAAGCAGGTAAAAAAAAAAAAACATTTAGTGTTTTTGTAATTTCTAAATAAACTTCAATCTGGCCCAAAATTTTGTGTTAAAAAAAAAAAAGGGAAGCAATACTTTGGCAAATTCTTCAGGATGTCTGCGCTCTCATTTTAAAATTCAATTTTTTTACACAAATCAGGATGTCTGTTTTTTATAGAAAGATACTGAGCCCACGAGGGGACATGAGGATTTTTTTTTTTATTTTGCGTTCCCTCGCAAAARACATTTATGTTGTGCTGCCGGTTTATTAACAAATTCACATGTTCACCAAAATACGGGAGTTAGCCTACTTTAATTCAGCTTTGGATTAAATGTGTCACAGACACACACATGAAGATATTTAATTTGCAGGTATTTTAACGCTGTGCAGCCACAAAATCTAACCGTCAATTTCCCGAATTTGTGGCGACACATCCTGTTTTGGTCTGAAAAGTCTGATTTAATTCAGTTCATACAAAAAAATAACTTTCACGTGGGAACGTGAAACAATATTGCGAGGGAACGCAAAAGAAAAAGAAATCCACACGTCAAGACTCTTAAACGGTAAAGTTGACAGAAAACAGACTTATCTGTAAAATTTTTGAAAAGTGACTTCACATTATCAAAGTGCAGAAGTGCTTTATGAGTAGAAGAAAAAAAAAACAGGATCTGAAAACAAAAGAACAGGGCGGGAAGAAGGTCGGAGAAATTTCTGACCAAATTATGACAATAAAGAATTTTGGTTAGCCAAGTGAACGGGATCCTCCAAGTACTTCCTAAAGATATATTTTTGTTGTTCTTCAGCTGAATGAATTTAAATAGATAATCTAAAAACTTTGAAATAAATGTCGTTACATTTAGAAAATATTAGAAAACCGGCTTAAGTTTTATGTCAACATTGTAAGATAAAATGGTGTACAAAAGCATTTTCCTCTTCTTTACTAAAAAATGTTTGGATTGTATAAGTAGTGGTTGCGCAATGTGCCGTTACCCTAACATTAAAATCTGATGAACTTCACTGACCAGAAGGCACAAAATAAAAAAAGTGGCATCGAGACCAATGCAGACAGATGAAGTTGGATGTTTTCAGGTTATCAGCTGATGGACGTAAACACCCACTTTAATAATATATAACCTCTAAAGCACAGCATGGCTCTGTTCTCTGTTCTGTACTTATTTTACAGCTACTTTCTCCTCCAGTTTACAGTAAAGTATTCAGGTTCTCCTGCACTGACAACAAAACCTACAAGTGGTTTTTATTCCATTGTCCTCTGGAATAAATGACCTTACAGTTTTATGTTTTCAGAACAATTACCTGCTCATACTCATTTAACGCATGTTTACGTTTTTTTTCTTCTTCTCTCCAGTCCTTATTTTTCACTCAGGTTCTGGAGGAGACGTTGATCCCGGTCACCATTTTCTGAATCTTCTCCTCGTTCTTCAGGATGTTGCACTTCACAGCGCAGATCTTATCCTGCTGGTCCCTGATCTGCTGCTCCAGCTCAGCCAGCTTGGTTTTCAGAGGCATCACGGCCTGCTCTGTCAGCCTGTTTACAAATACAAACATGGCAAAATGTTATTTATTGTTTATGTGGAATTGTTAGATATTTCACAATGATCTGCAAAGTTGTTATAATCGGGGTCTGAACTTGATAGTTGCTAAATCTGCTGTTTTTTTATACTTAATAGAGTTTTTCTTTCATAATTAAAGTAAAATGAACAACTGTGGATCCAAACAGCTCCATGTTTCTTTGGTTACAGATGTTTTGGGCCAGATATGTGTTTTAGTTGGACTTCGTGACAAACTGGTTGACTCACTGGTTGGGCGTACCAAGTCACAGTATGATTAACATTCTTGTTTTTGAAAAATCTTTGTTTCATTTAAGCCTCTCTTAGCCAGTGCCTGTTTCTTTTCTTTCTGTGTGAAGCAGCCTCCCCACCTCTGTTCCTCCAGCAGGGCCTGCGCATGCTCCTTGTTCTCCTGCCGCCAGGAGAGCAGCTCAGCCTTCATGGCGTCCACGTCCTCCTGGATGTAGTCCATGATCTTCCCCAGCGGCAGGGAACTGCGGCAAACCGACTGGATGGAGGCGCGGAGACGCTCGATCTCCCTGTTCATCATTTCCTGCTCTTTTTTATGAGCAGGTTCGGACACCAAGTTCTGAAAAGTGAACGATGAGAATTAAAAACTTTAAAGCTTAACTTAAAAAGTCAATAAGCAGGAAGATCTAATAGACCAAATGTTATTAAATAAATAACTAGATGTCGCATGGCAGTAGCATACATGACCCCGCACATACGCAAAGCACCAATGYACCAGAACTCACCAGAACAGATTTATTGTTTTGGGTGGGGATCCGGAGGGGGTTGGTCATTGGTGGGCCTRATGGATGGCCATTCATCAAAACTAAACACCAAAAAAAATCTGAAGTTCCTATGTTGAATAGTTTTTGAGTTATAAGCATTTTTGCATGTCCAGATACCCACTTTCAGATGGAACCCCCTCCTCAAATATGGGGTCTATTGTAAAACCGTTGGCTGGCTCAGTGTAGGTCGGACACATCTACGTTCCTGCCAGATTTCAYGTTGATCAATGCAGCCGTTTCCATGCTACGGTTGACCAAACATCACCGAAAAAATTTAATTAAATTCAATTAACAGTACGGAAACAAAATTGCCCCTTTTCCACTAGTGCCACTTAGTGTAGTGTTGGTATGGTTCCAAGCCATTTCCATTAGGCCAGATTCATGGAACCAGCCCCCTTTTTTTATTACCTACTTCATTGTGGTTCCAAGCAGCCCCAGTTGACACCAAAATGTGATGTCAGAACACTGTTTGTCACTGATTGGCTAGAGGGTGGAGTCACTGGTTGTGTCTAAGCTGCCTTTACAAGAACAATTCAAGGAGCAATTTTTTCAATWGTAGCAGTGACATTAGTCGTGATTCCATCCTATTTTAATTCGAAATTTTTGCRAATTTTTAAAATTTCAAAAGTTATTCATCAAATGTGTTTCCATCTCTCATTTTGCCCATTAACTTAAAAAAAATAACTCCACCAACCGCCCAAAACACACCCATTGGAACCAGACYGGAACGTCAATGGAAAAGCACCCGAACTGACCCGTTCCGACACTACACTATAGTGACACACTATAGTGGCACTAGTGGAAAATGAGCCCCTGCTTCACGTGCGGGGGTCATAATAAATAAGCTTTTAGTTACTCTTTTGCAGAGCCATTATGACTGGAAAGTATCTGAAGCCAGTTTGAGACATGTTTTAAATAACTATACTCCAAACGGGAAAGTAGAAGTTGAAGTCATTAGAGGAAAATGCAGGGACAGTTAGTACRGTAATTAAATACATGTCAGTGGTACTAAATTATTACACACCTACGGTAGTAATACAATATCTTTTGTATCAAACGTATCTTCCTCAATCTACAAAGACAACTATCTTAATATGGAAATAAAAACTTGGACTTAAAACAGAAAAGTTTTGCAAAAAAATGTCATTAACTTCCCTACAAACAGTTACAAATAATGAATAACTAACAACTGGAATAAAACAGTATACAGTTTATTATCCTCTTTAATTGATTAAGTTTCTCCAAGAATATGTCTTTAGAGATCTATTTGATTAAACTCAGAAATCTATCAGACAGCTGTGAGAATCACTCACGCTGCTGTAGACCGAAACATAAACTCTCTTTAGAAATCCTGTCTTTGCCAGCGACGTCTCCGATGCCCAGAACCAGAACCAGAACCAGAACCAGAGCAAAGGATATATTTTGTGGTTTTAAGATTTCAAGGCTAAAAAGGTTATTGAGGAATTCTACCAAGCTAGCTGTGTATACAAAGATCAAACGTGCTGCTGAATTGTCTTGGCTAACGTAGGGGGACTGGCTGACTGAAGGTTTGCAGTGACGGGGGGAGGAAGAGGAGGTTAGCTGTATCCCAATTACACCTCGTCCCTTGATGGAGAAAAGGAGGGGAACGTATCAGGGAAGGAACTCCCTTGGCAGAAAGCAAACTTAAAGATGTTTGCTCAGCTGGACTTTGCAAGGCCTGGAAGTGTGTGTGTGTATTAGTGTGTGTAGGGTGAAAACACTCTGCACTCCAAACCTAAAGCCACACACCTACTTACAAACAGCCACCAGAGAATCAACCGAAGCACAGAGTAAACCCCCCCCCCCACCTACAGTCTTGGTCTTGTTTATTTTAGTAACAGGCTGTGGCAGTTGTGTTTTTTTCACTACAGTATTGAGTAACAACTATTACACTTCTACCTCCTTTCAAGTTCAACATGGGGCCCAAATTGCAACGTTTGACACGGGAGCACCTGTCCCCACGAGGCTGCAGAACTCATATAATGTAAACTCAAGGACAGCTTCCCCTTCAAAACCCACAAAGTGTCGGTTCGGTTTTGGCCTGGCATAAAAGACAAACCTTTTTTTTTTCCTCTTTTCAATAGACCGACAAAAAATATGCATTGAGAGATGCTTTTTAACATTACTGTATGAATACTTGTTGCATTTGTTGGACTCTATCATGGAGCCTTGTGTTTTATCTGTCATCTGTATACCAGCGTTGGACGGACTGCCTTATCCACCTGCAGAGTTGTTCATTGGCATAATCTAGTTCACAAAGCAATCTTGGATTTACCTCCCACTTACCTYCTGTCATATATTGTTTAAAAAACACACAGGAGGTCATTTTCTACATTCATTTTATTAACTGTAAGGTTTGCTCTGATTATGGCAAAAGTTTCTTCCACTTTGCTGGAATCTACTACAGAAAGATTTGAAGTTGAAAACGTTGGTCTCTTTTAATGTTTTTAGGGTCAGTTTTAAACAGCTTGTACATAAGACATTTGTTTGTAAATGTTTTAACAGATTTTTTACTCTATTTTAGTCCTATCTTACCTTTTATGAGTGTTTCTTGTTTTTCTTTTGTTTACCATGATGTATTTGATTGTAGTTTTATGTGAGCGGGCTGCTGCCGTTCTTGGCCAGGTCTCTTATTGAAGAAGAGATTTTTGATCTCAATTAGATCTACCTGGTTAAACAAAGGTTTCAATAAATTAAATAAATATTTGACAGAAATAAAACTGGAAAAACTTAAACTGGTCAATGTCCTGATGCATCTCAGTAATCTAGGTAGAAAAAAATCAAAAGGAAAAAAATAAGTACTGTAGGTCCTCTGGATGGGTTCTTTTTTAGTGAAACGTTTCGTCTCTCCTCCAAGA